TCAACTCGTAACTACAACTGATTGAATTTACAGTGATATATATCGATTTTCATTTAATGCTGAGGTCAAACAGATTTTTTTAGTCTCTCTCGCCCATGACCCACTGAGAATTTTAATGGCCCACCTTTCGCAGCGTCGTCAAAAATAACATTTACTAATGATATTTCAACTTTATTTAGCCGACATTGAGGTCAAGAATATGTTAATAATAATCGAATCAGTAACATCGGAAGTTGAATGATCCAGGCATTAAAACAGGATAGCTGTAGAATCCTCATCCGTGGTCAGTAAACTAAAAAATATTTCCTTCACAAAAAAGACAAATGGTTTTCCCTGCTTATTGACTGCAACAAGCCAGTCTTTTACAACACAGCATCTCAAAACCAGATCGCTGATCTTCAACTGACGGCCATGAATCAGGTTCAACGTTGAGCTGAGACCTATGATCACAGACGCCTCAACTGAGAAGCCTAGCAAGCAATACGTAGGCGATGTGGAAATGGGAAGCAATGCATACAAAGCTCGCTGTATAATTGTAGAATATCCCATACCACCCTAATTCAGAAATCACTCAATATATGAATAGTAAATCTCAGCTTCAGGGTGAAGCCTTTTGTTACTTAATTGATAAATTGAATATAAAATGAAATTATATTATTGTTCATGATCTGTTCTCACTCAAAACCCAGGCCGTTCAAGAATGGCCACCTGTTTCGCAAGGAAATATACTCCTGCGAACATGACCGACATTATATAATCTGCTCTGCCTTAAATATTCTTAGATATTTATTCGATTGTTCTCGAGTTTCTGGCTTTGCAGTGGAAGCCGCGACCTGGCAAATACGCGTTCAGAAAACACAGATCATCACAAGCTGTGCCAGCACCGTTTGAACGCAACCTGTGGGGAAGTGATTCTGGGGAAGTAGAGCTTGGGAAGTGGAGTACATAGAATTATAATAATAATTAGAATCACAACTCTTATTATAATTAATTTAGTTTGGACAAAACTTTGTAACGAGCCGTAGAAAATGATTCAGACTGCAAATAAAAGAACGATGGAATAGAGGCTGGAAAAATCTTCACTCTATTGAAAAGTCGCAAGGTGGTAGAAATTGCCATCAACTCTACTTGCGCTCTGTGCTGCCTTATTGAGGTAGCGGCTCCTCTTCAATGCGCGTGAAGAGGCATAGGAGCCGCAACTCGCTCCCTCGTCTGTCCAACCCGTAAGTTCCGAAGAATCACATGAGAGTTACTTGTGCTGGAAGAAGAGGTTGTCAACATACCTAATGGAAGAATGTTTGCTGATGACGAAGAGAAGAATGGAATGTCAGATCTCGCTGGACGAGTTGAAGAAGAAGAGCTGATCCTCATCTGCATGCCTTGCATTGGAGGGTCGGAGGCCTGAGACGCCAGCCCAGGCATCACCACCACACCCTGAGGACGAGTTGGACTGATGACCAGGAACTTGTCTGTTAGAATAGGCGGCACTCTAACTGCTCTTAACCTCACCACTCGAAAATAATTATTTTTTACGAACGTCGTTCAAATGCCTACCGATGTGACGCTACAAATTTATATTATATTGAACAAATTTCTTTGGATTGCCGCAAGTTTTAAAGCCCAAGTAATAACATAACATGACTCGTGTCAAGTATTTTATCATTTAAATATTATTGCAACAACGGAAGAGGCAATGAAACTCTTAGAAACCTGTTGCCGACATGTAATTATCTCATGCGGCTTAAAAATTTAAAAACTTTGAGTCGCATTGCCACATTCTTCTTAAAATCTGAAAAATTGGAGAATGTGAAATATTCGTTGATTAAATTATATTTGTCCAAAACTGTGATAATTGAAGGTTAATGGCCACAATTAGTGGTCATTAACCTATCAAGTTTTAACATTTTCACAATTTCAAGTCACCTAACCCTAATTACTGCGCAGTACTCACACTCCGCCCATCAACGTAAGTATTCGTGGCCACCTCACTGCCGGCCAGCGTCAGGACCTGCGCAAATAATATGGAAGTTAAATTAATTTGTTATTTAAGAAACATTTTGTGAGCGCATTCATGGAAATCAGAAATTAGTTGGAGGGAATAGAAAATAGGCCTAGAAATGAAGTAAAAACAAAGCGTATATTGAATTATTTTCTATGAGTGTTACAAAAAAAATACATATGTATTATTGATGGAATTTGCTCAAATTAATGGATGGCCATTAGTTACTCGAAAGTGCAAGAAGCCTTATATAAAGATGACAATATGTACGAGAAAGTCTATCATTTTTCTTGCGCGGCGTGAATCAGCTCCAGCGATGATTTAATTCCCATTTCAATCTTTTATAAACCTCAAAAGATATCGAGGACGCTTCATAGGCTTACTTCCAATAAGTAAACTAAGTAAATTAATTGTCTCTATTAAGCACGTCTAAACTAAACTAATTTAATAATAGTTAATTTAATAATAGTTTGGTAAATTTGATTTATTACCAGTGTAAGAGAGACAACGTTCAATATTTGTATTGTAAATATTAGTTTTGCTCTGATGCAGTTAAAGAATTCGTTGTACAGCTCTTCATACGAATTTCTCCCGCAATGCTCTGTGATTTTGTATTCTACGTGTTTCTCATCAATGCATGTATCTAGATATGTATTTATTTCTGGCATTGTTTGCTTACCTAATGCGAAACTTTCATTATATATAAAATGAAGAAGTAAAGAATATGAAGTTGAGTCACTTCAACTTCCATACATACTAAGCCATGTGTTTTTAATAAAAAATAAACATTTATGCTTTAAAACCTGATGATTCTTCCTTGTTCTGAAAGCGGGGCCGCTGCCCTGCACCAGGAGCGTCTCCGAGTCTCCCTCCTCCTGAATTGATCATTCCAACCTGCAAATAAACCTGGACTGTATGTACTTGCATGAATAATAGAATGTTACTGCAAACATTTAACGGTTTTCGCTGAAGTTGAGCTTCTAATGCTGCCCCCATCTCAACAAATTAATGCTCGCAATAATCTTATCTTAATTATGGGTCACGTTCATTACATGAAATTTTAATAATGAGATGTAAGAAAAAATTCCAGTGTGTATAGGGATTTTGACAAGTTACTTTTGTATACGTGAGTGATTATATTTTTGTCATTTATTATATGGTTCGTTCAGTCTATTGGTAGTAAGTTTGGTAGTAATTTTTCTTTAACTGCCGTCAGCAAAAGTTCTATGTACTTCTTTGTTCATCCTAATGAATGCGAGTTGCTTGAATCCATTGTTTCAAAGCCTGCAAATAACTATTGCCCATAAACCGTTTCGATCATCGTCATAAAATATATTTACTTCCAGAGGTTAGAACCAACTTTCTCCATTAGTGTAGCAGTGTCGACGCTGCAGAAAATAATAATATTAAATAAATAATAGCGGTTTCAGCGCATAGTAGGCGGTAGGCCTGTCGCCGATTCTTAACATCGCAGAACACTCACAGCATTTTGCGGTCTCGAACTCGCAACTCACTGTTACAATTCTACTGTGCTTAACCGCCCGGCCTCCTTGCCGATTCTGACCAGAAACTGACGCACAGAGCTGGGATCGAACCCGCGCCTCTCTACGCCAATATTGGTACTCTGAACTTTAACCACTGGGCCACTCTGCCTCTGTCCCTGCCTCTGTCTGGACCACCCTGCCAAAAGGCCATTTTTGGCCTTTCATCCGTTTTGTCAAACAAAGTTCGACACCAAGATGTGGTTCAGAAAATAATAATTTAGTTTTATTTATCTACCTGAACATCAAATGCATGCAGAGTCAGTTTGGCGTCAAGCTCTTCGACTTCATCCCTACGAATTTCGTGCGTCCACGGAGCACCGCGAGTTCTGCGAGACGCACCTCCGTGAACGCGGCACTTGCATTGTCAAACCCGTCGCGTCTTCTCAGGGCAAAGGCGTTTACCTGGTTTCTCAGGTACAGCTGTTGGCGTTATACAGTTTACATTTCCATCTTGGTATAAGATGACGATATATATGAGATGCTCTAATTTATGTGAATTTTCCTGTTCCTAACCTCGACGGAAAACATGTGTGAGCACATTGAAGCCGGTATTTAGGTTTTTGATAAATTCAATCTTTGATGATGTCGCATTGCTTTACCTACTTTCCTCCGTTATCCCCTGAGCCCTTTTAATTTTTTATTTAACATCTCCTAAGCCATGATCAGCTCAATTTTACTCTAACAAATATTAGATTTTAAAATAAAACATTGATTGATCTCTGATGCTTCATATGACCTAAAATATTGTTTTATTTCAAGTGTATCAAGTTCCGCCCGTGCAAGTGCCTCACCGTTCAATACCAAGCACATCTGGATACAACACCGAAATAAGATTAACATGTTTGATGGTACCAGTCGGTCGGCGATTGTTATAACGACATGTGTACTAAGGCACAACAATAATCTTGGGAGTGCTCATCAATTCTCTTGCTAATTTTATTCATAATGGCATGTTTAATTTCCCTTCTTAGTTATTGTGTAAACAATATCTAGCTTTTCTTGGCAAAACTCACCTTTATTTGGCCTATGTTAACGTATGATGACCTGGTCTGCGAACTTATAAGCGAACTAGGTAGGCTGGTAATACCTATTAAAGGAAGCTGCCTGAAAGGTGAAAAATATGTTTACAACTTTCGTTGTTAGGGAGGGCTATTCCATATAATTTAACCTAGATAACAGTAACACAAAATTAATTTCTCTAACTTTGTGTAATATTGAAAGGAGGAAAATAACTCATACAATTAAAAATGTTAATGATTCATGAAAAAAGTGAAAAAATTACCGTACTATAACTGGTATCCATTTAAGCGATCAAACAGTCAGATTTTGATATAGTTCTTAGCTTCTTCCACAGTTATATTAGCGGACTAAAAACTTATTTTATTTCAATCGTAAATCTCAATTGGATTGTGAGGTATAATTTAAGCACAAGTGGTTAATTGAGAAATTATAACACGCTGCTTTACAAACTTTATTTCAGCCATAATGGCCACGTCAAGAAAGAAGTGTCATTCATATTATAAGGTCATCCGACGGTTTGCACCGTTGGCAATTAAGAGTTACATTAAAAATACAGTTTATTATTCTTAACACTAACAAAATACCAAAAACAAGTCAACAAAAACATGTCTCTTTCCAACACAATTCCATCATAATTCCCCACGGGGAATTTGGGTGCACTAAATGTCATTCTTTAGCGAAAAAAATCGAATAGACAATAGTCGTTATTTTCGTAAAACGAAATACAGATATAATCGAATGTAGAAAAAAAATTAATCGGTCATTGTTATCCCGATAATCAACAGTCCGCGATGTTGAATAGAATAAGTAGAAAATTAAATTCGAGAGAAGCTCTCCATTACAGCAACAATCTTTCTCGAGAACCATCAGCCAAGCCGTGACGACCCGGCCATCAGATGACGTCTGAGCCTCCGTTAGATTATATTTATTTGCAGCAAAAGCAACAAAAATTAATTAAGATATCGTTGGCGTAAGCAAGCTAAATATGAACAAAAGCGGGTCTTTTCAACAATTCATCATTATTAAAAGTACATTGATCGTCTCATACAGGAGCTTAGAATTCTAGAAAGTGTTGCTTTGCATTTTTTCATGCTTTGTTTGCAGCTATCCTCCGCTTTGATCAATCAAATTCACACTATACATAACTTAAATATTTAATATACTTATTAACATCAAAGCTATCGAAAAAGAAATGTGTGTGGCTTTTGACCAAGCCACAAATGTGTTGATGGACTTCGTATTCTTTATTAAACCAAAAGCTGAAAATGAAGATTTGGACCTAAAGATTAGGCCAGTACTCTTAATCCCGTGATCAGCCTTAGTCCACCATGTATAGATAAAGTTCATGATAAAAAAAATGCTGAAACACAGACAGCATAAGTCATCACTGCTATGGAAATACTTCGTTGGTAGGTAGGTTTATTGATTGCCATTCAATGAACATCACTTCAATTTAAATTTCGCTGCGTTCATATTGTTCAAGTTTATACTCACTGCAGTTAGAACAAAATTTCTCGCAAAATCACACACGTGAAAACATTTAAGCAGTACACAATAAATAAAACTTTGTTAACCCGTTTACACAAGTTATTACCGCATTATGTACAGAACAAAATTTGCGTAATACGCTAATGATTATAGCGTCAGCGTCCTCACTGTGCATTCCTTCTCTTCTCTGGGAATAATCGATTCTTTTAAAATCTATCGTCATTTGAAAACAATCTTGAATCGAAGGATAGCGCAGCAATCCTGTTTGCATGTGCTTGTAAAAGTTCGGTCATCATATGTCTAAGCAATTCTCGACCGTTAAACAATACAATTACGGGAGTCATCGACATCGAAATTGAAATGTGTAATATTTGGAGAGTACACAGTTGTGCCATTAAAATGTTAGTTTTGTATCAGCAGTGATGTATGAATAATCCATTATTATTTAATGATCAATAAATATTATTACATCATTAGATAGTAAACTCATACCAATAGACCGTCAAGCATTAGACGCAAATGGGAAAGATCTACTATTCAGAGTAATTTTTATGTTTCTAGCTCTTCTTCAAGCACAAAAGTACTACATCCATTGCCGCCTCTGATGATTTAATAATGGAAATAATATCCGTTAGCATTAAATCTTGTAATTTTCAATAACCCCAAAGCATTCTGGCACCTCTCATCTGTCAAACACGTCACGCACTCTCACGAAAGATCGAGTTCACACTCATCACAAAAGACATGCACACCGTAATACAGTTGTTGACCAACTTAAAGCCATACTTAATTGTTCAGTAGCCCTGCACAACATTTATAATAGAAATAGTTCATTAAAAAATATTACCTGATGCAATGATGCAATCCCCCTGAAAATGCTGCACTTGAACTTCTATCCACTCGGTGACCTGGTGATTCTTTAACGTTTTAACCTGAGCATAGCACAAATACCTTTCAAATTAAAGAATATTCTGAAACAATAAAATTAACATCATTTCCTTAATTTTATGTATAATAACCTAGCGCTCTCAGTTGTTAGAAACATATTGTTTGGAAGAACTGTTCCTAAAGGCCCGTTTACACTAGGAACAACTGTTGTTCTAAAGGCCCGTTTACACTAGGGGCAACGATATGGGCGGTGAGGCGCGTGTCAAGTGTTTGCTGCAGCGCCAGACACCCACAACTGTTCACACTTATTTTTGTGCACGGTAGCTCAGGACCGCGCGCTGCGATGATCATGCTGCTAGTTAGACGTCAGTGAGGATGCATGCATCAGAATTTGAGCTCTGGGCCATTGTTCTCAGGAGTGCTGCTGTGATTACATTCATGGTCTCTACAGGCATTCATGGTCTCTACAGGCATTTCTCTTATACACATCTAGATGTGTATAAGAGACAGCGACAGGCATTCATGAACTCTACATGCATTCATGGTCTCTACAGGCATTCATGGTCTCTACAGGCATTCATGAACTCTACATGCATTCATGGTCTCTACAGGCATTCATGATCTCTAAAAGTATTCATAGACTCCACAGGCATTCATGGGCTACAGGCATGCATGGTCTTTACAGGCATTCATGGTCTCTACAGGCATTCATGAACTCTACATGCATTCATGGTCTCTACAGGCATTCATGATCTCTAAAGGTATTCATAGACTCCACAGGCATTCATGGGATACAGGCATTCATGGTCTCTACATGCATTCATGGTCTCTACAGGCATTCATGGACTCTACATGCATTCATGGTCTCTACAGGAATTCATGATCTCTAAAGGTATTCATAGTCTCCACAGGCATTCATGGGCTACAGACATTCATGGTCTCTACAAGAATTCATGGTCTCTAAAGGCATTCATGGTTTCTACAGGCATTCATGGTCTCTACAGGCATTCATGGTCTCTACAGGCATTCATGGTCTCTTCTCTGTCTGATGGCGGGGCCGCTGCCCTGCACCAGGAGCGTCTCCGAGTCTCCCTCCTCCTGAACTGATCATTTCAACCTGCAAATAAACCTGGTCTGTATGTACTTGCATGAATAATAGAATGTGACTGCAAACATTTAACGGTTTTCGCAGAAGTTGAGCTTCTAATACTGCCCCCATCTCAACAAATTAATACTCGCAATAATCTCATCTTAATTATGGGTCACGTTCATTACATGAAATTTTAATAATGAAATATAAGAAATAATTCCAGTGTGTATAGGGATTTTGACAAGTTACGTTTGTATACGTGAGTGATTATATTTTTGTCATTTATTATATGGTTCGATCAGTCTATTGGTAGTAAGTTTGGTAGTAATTTTTCTTTAACTGCCGACAGCAAAAGTTCTATGTACTTCTTTGTTCATCCTAATGAATGCGAGTTGCTTGACTCCATTGTTTCAATAGCCTGTAAATAACTATTGCCCATAAACCGTTTCGATCATCGTCATAAAATATATTTACTTCCAGAGGTTTGAACCAACTTTCTCCATTAGTGTAGCAGTGTCGACGCTGCAGAAAAGGCCATTTTTCGCCTGTCATCCGTTTTGTCAAATAAAGTTCGACACCGAGATGTAGTTCAGAAAATAATAATTTAGTTTTATTTATCTACCTGAACATCAAGCGCATGCAGCGTCAGTTCGGCGTCAAGCTCTTCGACTTCATCCCTGCGAGTTTCGTGCTGCCCACCAAAAATATGTGGGGGTTTTATTTGCCACTCCACATTAAGTTAATAACTCCAATCAGGAAATTGAATGGCCTAGCTAGTTAACTTGAATTATTCGCCAAGGGACAGACAGAAACATAGGGATCGGCAGGACGAATTTGGTTGGGAGAAATGAACACACAATTAATTGATGAGTTTTATTTATTTGGCATAGCTCACGTGACCAGTTTGATGATGTGGTGATGAAGATAATGTGCTCGGCTTGTGATCTGCTCGTGGTTGCGTGGCGAATTCAGACACCGTGGTGAAGTTATCCGGGCACGATATTGAGAGTCGCAGTGACACTAAACTGCTAAACTGATTGTTCCAGAGATACGTTCACTGAATGAAAGTTAATCAGGTAGTTAACTGAATTGGTTCACTGAATAAAAATTAATGTAATAGGTGCACAGCAAGAATTCACTGAGTTGGTTAACTGATTAAGTTCACAGCGAGAATTCACTGAGTTGGTTAACTGATATCAGAATGTCAGCTTTAAGATGAGACTAAAAACCGGAAAAGCCGAAATCCAAAATTTTACCCTAGACGCTCCCCTATTAAGTTCACAGCAAGACTTCACTGAATATTCACGGATGAGCGTCGGTAGACAGGAAGAACTCACGGTGCTCCGTGCACGGAGCACCGTGAGTTCTGCGAGACGCACCTCCGTGAACGCGGCACTTGGATTGTCAAACCCGTCGCGTCTTCTCAGGGCAAAGGCATTTACCTGGTTTCTTAGGCACAGCTGTTATACAGTTTACATTTCCATCTCGGTATAAGATGACGATATATATGAGATGTTCTAATTTATGTGAATTTTCCTGTTCCTAACCTCCACGGAAAACATGTGTGAGCACATTGAAGCCGGTATTTATGTTTTTGATAAATTCAATCTTTGATGATGTCGTATTGCTTTACCTACTTTTCTCCGTTTTCCCCTGAGCCCCTTTTTTATTTAACATCTCCTAAGCCATGATCAGCTCAATTTTCCTTTGACAAATATTAGATTTCAAAATAAATCATTGACTGATCTCTGATGCTTCATATGACCTAAAATATTGTTTGATCTCAAATGTATCAAGTTCCGCCCGTGCAAGTGCCTCACCGTTCAATACCAAGCACATCTGGATACAACACCGTGATAAGATTAACATGTTTGATGGTACCAGTCGGTCGGCGATTGTTATAACGACTATGTGTACTAAGGCACAACAATAATCTTGGGAGTGCTCATCAATTCTCTTGCTAATTTTATACATAACCGGCATATTTAATTTCCCCTTTAGTTGTTTTGTAAACAATATCCAGCTCATCTTAACAAATCTCACCTTTATTTGGCCTATGTTAAGTATGATGACCTGGTTAGAGAACTTATAACCGAACTAGGTAGGCTGGTAATACATATTAAAGGAAGCTGCCTGAAAGGTGAAAAAATATGTGTACAACTTTCGTTGTTAGGGGAGAGCTATTCCATATAATTTAACCTAGATAACAATAACACAAAATCAATTAGTCTAACTTTGTGTAATATTGAAAGGAGGAATATAACTCATACAATTTAAAATGTTAATGATTTATGAAATAAGTGAAAAAATTACCGTACTATAACTGGTGTCCGTTTAAGCGATCAAACAGTCAGATTTTGATAATAGTTCTTAGCTTCTTCCACAGGTATATTAGCGGACTAAAAATTTATTTTATTTTAATCGTAAATCTCAATTGGATTGTGAGGTATAATTTAAGCTCAAGTGGTTAATTGAGAAATTATAACACGCTGCTTTACAAACTTTATTTCAGCCGTAATGGCCACGTCAAGAAAGAAGTGTCATTCATATTATATGGTCATCCGACGGTTTGTACCGTTGGTAATTAAGAGTTACATTAAAAATACAGTTAATCAACAAAAACATGTCTCTTTTTAACACAATTCCATCATAATTCCCCACGGGGAATTTGGGTGCACTAAATGTCATTCTTTAGCGAAAAAATCGAATAGATAATAGTCGTTATTTTCGTAAAACGAAATACAGATATAATCGAATATTAAAAAAATTTAATCGGTCATTGTTATCCCGATAATCCACAGTCCGCGATGTTGAATAGAATAAGTAGCAAATTAAATTCGAGAGAAGCTCTCCATTACAGCAACAATCTTTCTCGAGAACCATCAGCCAAGCCGCGACGACCCGGCCATCAGATGACGTCTGAGCCTATTTATTTATTGTATATTTATTTATATTTATATTATTTATATTTATTATATATTTATTTATTTGCAGCAAAAGCAACAAGAATTAATTAAGATATCGTTGGCGTGAGCAAGCTAAATATGAACAAAAGCGGGTCTTTTCAACAATTCATCATTATAATGAGTACATTGATAGTCTCATACAGGAGCTTAGAATTCTAAAAAGTGTTGCTTTGCATTTTTTAATGCTTTGTTTGCACCTATCCTCCGCTTTGATCAATCAAATTCACACTATACATAACTTAAATATTTAATATACTTATTAACATCAAAGCTATCGAAAAAGAAATGTGTGTGGCTCTTGACCAAGCCACAAATGTGTTGATGGACTTCGGATTCTTTATTAAACCATAAGCTGAAAATGAAGATTTGGACCTAAATATTAGGCTAGTACTCTTAATCCCCGTGGTCAGCCTTAGTCCACCATGTATAGATAAAGTTCATGATAAAAAAATGCTGAAACACAGACAGCAAAAGTCAACAATGCTACGGAAATACTTCGTTGGTAGGCAGGTTTATTGATTGCCATTCAATGAACATCACTTCAACATTCAATATCGCTGCATTCATATTGTTCAAGTTTATACTCACTGCAGTTAGAACAAAATTTCTCACAAAATCACACCCGTGAAAACATTTAAGCAGTACACAATGAATAAAACTTTGCTAACCCGTTTACACAAGTTATTACCGCATTATCTACAGAACAAAATTTGCGTAATACGCTAATGATTATAGCGTCAGCGTCCTCACTGTGCATTCCTTCTCTTCACTGAGAATAATCAATTCTTATAAAATCTATCGTCATTTGAAAACAATATTGAAGCGAAGGATAACGCAGCAATCCTGTTTGTGCTTGCGTCAACGTTCGGCCATCATTTTTCTAAGCAATTCTCGACCGTTAAACAATACAATTACGGGAGTCATAGGCATCGAAATTGAAATGTGCAATATTTTAAGAGTACACAGTTGTGCCATTAAAATGTTTGTTTTGTATCAGCAGTGATGTAAGAATGATTAATAATCCATTATTAATTATTGATTAATAAATATTATTACATTATTAGATAGTAAACTCATACAATAGACCGTAAAGCATTAGACGCAAATGGAAAATATCTACTATTCAGAGTAATTTTTATGTTTCTAGCTCTTCTTCAAGCACAAAAGTACTACGTCCATTGCCGCCTCTGATGATTTAATAATGGAAATAATATCCGTTAGCATTAAATCTTGTAATTTTCAATAACCCCAAATCACTCTGGCACCTCTCATCTGTCAAACACGTCACGCATTGTCACGACAGATCAAAGTTCACACTCATCACCAAAGACATGCACACCGTAATACAGTTGTTCACCAACTTAAAGCCATACTTAATTGTTCAGTTGCCCTGCACAACATTTATAATAGAAATAGTTCATTGAAAAATATTACCTGATGCAATGATGCAATCACCCTGAAAATGCTGCGCTTGAACTTCTATCCACTCGGTGACCTGGTGATTATTTAACCTGAGCATCGCACAAATACCTTTCAAATTAAAGAATATTATGAAACAATAAAATTAACATAATTTCCTTAAATTTATGTACAATTACCTAGCGTTCATGGTCTCATTCATAACAGTTGGCATTCATTGTCTCTATCAACTGTTGTTCTAAAGGCCCGTTTACACTAGGAACAACTGTTGTTCTACATGGTCTCTATTAACATCAATCAGCCTCTCTACTAGAGAGTGAGTACAAACGAGTGTTGCGTTAGTCGACATATTTTTGTTAAGGACCAGTGTAAACAAGCAACCTCACTAGACCACAGACAGTCGTCTACTGAATGCAGCGCTTGTGATGCATCACTTGCATGAGGCAGGGCGCCTGCGAATCTTTAGCTCGTCAATCGCTTCGTTGCCCACAAGAAGCGCACGTAGACGCTGCGCAGATAGGCGGTGAGGCGCTTGAAGCCCGTGTGTCGCCCCTAGTGTAAACGGGCCTTAGGACGCAAACATACCGCGTTCAAACTTGCCGCTTACAAAAATATCATAAGTGCGGTTCAAACAGTAAACAGTTGATTAACGATTATCGCTAATAATAATTAATTAACTGATAAAAGCGTAGATTTTAAACTGTACTTTTTATGAAGACATATAATATATAACAACTATAAGAACTTATAATACTCGATTAGCCTTTAATTACTTTCTAAATCTTACAGTCCGAAGCATATATTAATAAAAAATTAAATAATTATTGAAATATTAAAAAAATATATTTTATTGATTAAAATATTGAAAAAAATTCATATCCAATGATAAAAGCCTCCAATTAAGTAGTGTTGCATTCAACAGACAAAATCACCAGCTATAATTGCAATATTTTTAATTTTGATCAGTTCATCCTCGTATTACTTGCTCAGAACTCGGGCCAAGAAAATTTTTGCCCAGGTCATTTCATTCTGCGGACACGTGTGTGAGTTTTCTAAACCTTCAAGAAAACTGTCAAGAACTGTCCTACTTAATGACGCAGTAAGTTTTTTAGAATAACACTTCCGATCTCAACCTTGCCAAACTTGCCTAGTCATTTAAGAAATAATATCTTAGCGCCGTTGGGAAACGCCGTTACTAAGTCCTCGAATATCTGCATTAACATGAAGATTGCTCTCAACCTTGTTCGATTGGTCATATATTTACTCAGTTCATTTCAGTAAATCACAATACTGCAGTTTCAGACCAGGTTTCGCAGTGTAATATCATGTCATGTTACTCATTACCATTATTTCTTGTCGTGCTTCAAATGATTTTCTCGCTCTAAAATGTGAAGCATCAAGAGACAATACACCGTCTAATTTCTTCCCTAGTATTGATCATACAAATCAGTGTCAATGTACAACATGGTATCATCTGCTCTATATATAGAACTTCTCCACATTTAGATTCCGCAGTTCATCGCCGTTGGTTACATAACATCCGCTTCCCACTATTTCTAAGTCAATTTCATCTCCATACATGGACAGTTGATTGAAAGTTGAATTGCTAAGTTGAATTAACTGAAATTTCCACATGGCATAAGGACTGAGCATAAAATCGCCATTCTTGATTTTATCATATACCAGATTATTGTGAACTGGTTTTCCATTTGCGTACCTGCTCTTTGTGGACCTCATTTCTCCATACGAAAAACGGATGGGAAGAAACATGGATGTTATTAAACAACCCTACATTTATACGTCGGGCATGACAATGTATAGCTGTCATATATTCATTTACTGGTGATTTTATCTGTTCTATTTTTGCCTTCACTTTAGCAGCTGAATCTTCAGTATTGCTGTTGTTTAACTCCAAATGAGATGCCAATATAGCCCTTTCAAGATAAAGACCAGCTAACGGAAACACCAACTGCTTCAATGCATCAACAGCTGTTTCGTACTGCTTCAGGATAAGGTTAGACCTGGTGAGTATTTTTAATTCCTTTTGATCACCATTATCTGGACCATGGGTGCAACGACTGCTGCAATATAGTTAGCTAAGTTTTGCTGTTGTTGGTAGTCTTGCATGCGATCGTAAACATGGATTAAGGTGGTCATGGATTCTTCCAACTTTTCAATGCAACGTGCCAAGTTGTCTTCTACTTTAAACCTTTCCGTTAATTGGCGCATGGATAGTTTTATGTCTCGATCTGAGCGAGCTTTGTTCCTGCCATTTGGTCACGTCAAGCGCAACTTGAGATTTTGTACCCAACGTACTTTCTACCTCCTCGAGATCTTTTTCCATTTTATTCATATAGGCGTTATTGCATTATAAATTCTATATTTACATTGTTTAAGTGGAACTTTTATTCTGCACTTTGAATAGCATTACAAATCGTTTCAAGTTCTGCTGCATCATTTTTGTGTTTACTGTAAATGTCCAAGCTCACAGCACTAATCTGAATCAGACAATGAACGGTATCTATAGCACCTAATGCCTTAGCGGCACTTTCGTCATCAATAGTTGAGTTCGTCTTTAGTTCGATTTCTTTTACCTTTAGTTCTTCCCTAATTTTAGCCACGTGCTCTTCAGACCGCGCATCGAGCCCTGGAGATCCATTTCGGATTTCCAACATCTCGCTCCTGTTCCTCTCTATACTTTCACGAACATCCTTCAACAATGGATGTGGATAAATTTTATGAGCTATGTAGTCTAATATTCGATTATTTCTCGCCACTTTAAGGTCATTGATGCTTCCAATTTGATCTTCCAATTGCCTTAGGTAAACTCTTGCATCAGCAGGTAATGATGGGGGACGCTGTTGTGCGGTCTGGTCGGCTGAAAATTCCGCAAATTCCGCAACGATACTTGTGGCTCCAATGTACGCCCCTGTCGCCGCCCCAACAGGTGCGAATAAACTCAATGCGATTCCTACAATTTTGAAAACACTGAGGAACCCTTTGAGCACCACTTTTTGTTCTAATTCCTTCTTTCAGTCTCTCTTTGCAACTCACTTCTAACTCTTTCTGCCTCTCTTTGCAATTAATTTCTCCCTCTTTCTGCCTCTCTTTGCAATAAATTTCTCCCTCTTTCTGCCTCTCTTTGCAATAAATTTATTTGAACTGACGATGGAGCTGGACTCCGAAACGTTTTCTCTTATAAAGATATGGTGAATTTTTGTGGTATTTTCTTTGCTTTTAAATTCCTGGTTAACTTGCGATTCAAGCAAACAAGTGATTTTAATACTGATTTTATCATATACCCGATTATTGTGAACTGGTTTTCCATTTGCGTACCTCCTCGTTGTGGTCCTCATTTCTCCATACGAAAAACGGGTGGGAAGAAACATGGATGTTATTAAACAACCCTACATTTTGTCAACCTTTGTCACATATTCATTTACTGGTGATTTTATCTGTTCTATTTTTGCCTTCACTTTAGCAGCTGAATCTTTAGTATTGCTGTTGTTTAACTCCAAATGAGATGCCAACATAGCCCTTTCAGGATAAAGACCAGCTAACGGAAACACCAACTGCTTCAATGCATAAACAGCTGTTTCGTACTGCTTCAGGATAAGGTTAGACCTGATGAGTATTTCTAATTCCTTTTGATCACCATTATCTGGACCATGGGGTGCAACGACTGCAGCAATATAGTTAGCTAAGTTTTGTTGTTGTTGGTAGTCTTGTATGCGATCGTATACATGGAGCAAGGTGGTCATGGATTCTTCCAATTTTTCAATGCAACGTGCCAAGTAGTCTTCTATTTTAAACCCTTTCGTTAATTGGCGCATGGATAGTTTTATGTCTCTGAGCGAGCTTTGTACCTGCCATTTGATCACGTCAAGCGCAACTTGAGATTTTGTACCCAACGTACTTTCTACCTCCTCGAGATCTTTTTCCATTTCATTCATATAGGCGTTATTGTATTATAAATTCTATATTTACATTGTTTATGTGGAACTTTTATTCTGCACTTTGAATAGCATTACATATCGTTTCAAGTTCTGCTGCATCATTTTTGTGTTTACTGTAAATGTCCAAGCTCACAGCACTAATCTGAATCAGACAATGAACGGTATCTATGGCACCTAATGCCTTAGCGGCACTTTCGTCATCAATAGTTGAGTTCGTCTTTAGTTCGATTTCTTTTGCCTTTAATTCTTCCCTAATTTTGGCCACGTGCTCTTCAGACCGCTCTTTGAGCCCTGGAGATCTATTTCGGATTTCCAGCATCTCACGCCTGATCCTCTCTATACTTTCACGAACATCCATCAACAATGGATGTGGATAAATTTCATGAGCTATGTAGTCTAATATTCGATTATTTCTCGCCACTTTAAGGTCATTTATGCTTCTAATTTGATCTTCCAATTGCCTTAGGTAAGCCCTTGCATCAGCAGGTAATGATGGGGAACGCTGTTGTGCGGTCTGGTCGTCTGAAAATTCCGCAAATTCCGCAACGATAATTGTGGCTCCTATGTACGCCCCTGCCGCCGCCCCAACAGGTGCGAATAAACTCAATGCGATTCCTACAATTTTGAAAACACTGAGGAACCCTTTGAGCACCACTTTTTGTTCTAATTCCTTCTTTTAGTCTTTCTTCGCAACTCACTTCTCTTTCTGCCTCTCTTTGCAATAAATTTCTCCCTCTATCTGCCTCTCTTTGCAATTTATTTCCTAATTTTTCAGCGTCTCATTGCCTTTGCCTTAATTCATTTACCTCTCCTTCAGCCTCTCTATGCAGTTCTATTGTTTCATTCAGAAGAAGATCAATTTTATCATCTATTTGCGCGTGAATTTCATCAATGGCCGGTGTAATCTCCTCTTCGATGAAACGCTTAGATTCCTCAATTTTTATATCTATATTGCCTTTATATTAATTCTTATAGTTATATATTGTGTTAACCATGTCATGTTTTTCATTCAATTGAATAACATCATTGACATTGGTTTTCACTATATCAAGGTACCTATTCATATCTATGATCAATGGAGCATCTGAGTCACTTTTTAAATCAAATAACTTGCTTAAGACAGCTGTATACATATAGGCGAGGGTCTTATTATGCTCCATGGATCTTTGGTTAGCTTCTGGATTATTTGCGTATTCATTAATCCTATCTAATATTGAATTATAAAAAAATACAGAATCACTTTTTTGTAACAGATGAAACTGTCTCTCTAAGCCTCGGTGCTCCCCTAATAATCCTGACGTATCATACATGCGTTTAATATCTCTATTAGTATCAAGTTCACGGAAAAATTTTATGAGATCGTTTTTTCTAATGCGGCCACCAACATCAACATTTAAGTTTACCCTCGCATAACTTCTATAATGGTTGATAATCTCAGCTTTATTATCAATGACGGCTGCAGGTTCTGGGTTCTTGATGTCTGCTCCATTAGCTCCATCCCTTCCTCTATTTCCAGTTAGAGCGGACACGCGATCTCCTATAAATGTTATGTATGCGAAATTGTCCTCTATCCAAGATTCTATGCTGTCAACACACCTGAGATGAACGGAATATCCTTGCCTACCACCAGCTCCTCCTTCACCGCCTTTGCCCAATGTTCCATGTCTTCCATTGTTATTAATACTCGATATCCCTAAATAGTTACCTAGCGTAATTAACTTAATATCACCTGATTTTCCCCCGTATCCATTTTGTCCGCCATCCCCCCCATCTCCACCATATGTGCCGTTTTTACCGTAAATAGTAAACCACGAACTTCTTCCGCATACCCCGTCTGAAACGACGTTCATCTCACATACGATAACATCGGAATTTTTTTCCAGTATACAGTCGAAACCTTCCGCTCGGCCATCAACACAGAGTGTGTCGCACTCATATTTTCCATTATAGTATTCTGTACTGTTTCTAGGAGAATCACCTGCGTAACCAGGGCCACCATCTCCACCATCCTGCCCATCACCACCATTCCCACCATTAGCCACAATATTCAACATATTTCCATTCAAGAATGTTGTGCCTACGCCAAAGAAACTCCCAGCTGGTCCTCCAGGCAAGCCAGGCCTACCGTCAGCTCCCCGCCCCCCGTCACTCCTGCCGTCACTTGCCTTACGTGGATTATGTGGCGGAGCGTCAGCCCCACTCAAGTCTATTGTTCTACGACCTATTACCTCCCATGTCGGGGCTATCATTACGAGTTTGAACTTTTTCCCTACTTTATTTAGGTTTTCGTCAATAAATATTTTGTTCAGAGCAAATATTTCTGTTGTGGTGCGTTTGCAATTCCCAATTTCCACTATTGCTTCACTAAGTCTTATGTAACCTCCTTTGATTGTGAGTTTATTTGATTGACATGAGACATGGAATTTGTTCAACGTCAAACTCGCTACTTGTCTCAAATCCTCCACACGTATATCCTCAGCCTGTATATTTTGTACCTTATTATATCCCATCACATTGAACGTTCTTATATTTTCCATAAATTGTTTGAAGTTATGTCGCGTTATTGATATTCCCTGCTGTTTATCATCTTGTCCCCACTCCGCAATGTTGGCCACGTTGTATTTCATTCTACTTTTCTGTACGTCATAAGTAGATAACTTTTCATACAAATTGGTCAAGAATTCGTACCATGCTTTTGATTCCTTGAGGTATGTCGCAGTTTCATTGAGTGGAGTTATCAATTGAGATGGTGATGGGGTATCTAGCGTTTCAATGCTTATAATTTGTAAGAAAGTTAAGAACTTTCCAAGTCTCCAAACATTGTTTGTGTTTCTGCTGATTTTGAAGGTATCATGATCTGAAACTACCTCTTGAAGTTTTCTTGACAAATCTCGTGCTGTTTTTGAACGTTTAATCTTTTTCGTCATGTTCATGGTGAAAGCATGTCCAAAGTTTATTTCAGCTGGTAATTGCTGAATTATCATGGAACGCATTTTACTTTGGTAATATTCCTTAATTTTTACTGCGATATTAGATATGTTAGTTTGCATTTGATCATTAATTTTCCCTGTAACATTATTGATATCCTGCTGAATATCGTCCTTGGAGCCCAAGATGTAGGTTTCAACGGGCTGCAAGAAGTCACCCCATGTCCCAGTACCTAATAGGTCGTCACTCACAACCCTCAGAAATGCAAAATATTCGCCTAGCTGCGAAATACTCTGAATAGCCTCTGCACACCCATCAATGCCTAAGGCAGTTAGGCTATTGTTGATCTTCTCTGCCAACTGGTCTGCAGGTGCATTTTTAACTTCATGTATTAGGTTTGACGTACGGACATGGCCATCATTAAGACGTCTTTTAAAGGATCGAGCTTCTGATGGATTTGCAACATCGGCATCAGTAAGTGTAATAAATGAGCGTATCTTCCTCCGCATTCTTTCTACTAACTCTTTGTAAAACTTCAGCATGTGTTCAGTAACATTACGGAGATTAGACCAAGCACGGTCGAGTATTCCATCCGCGAGTGACCTGACATCAAGCTTAGCCTGCTCAGATATTGTATGGCCAAAATCACCTTTATTGGTCGCAGTGAACTCAAGGTTTTCGTTCAATATTTTTTCTATATGTTTCTTCCCCTTCTGTAAAAGGCCAATATTACTCAAGGGGCCCGCCTCGTCTGGCCTTCGGAAGATTCCTATTCTCGAATAGTGTTCACCATCCTTGATCAGTAAAATGTTTACAAACTTTAACGCTTGACTACAATATTTTTCCTCATCACCTGAAACACATTCTGGCCGCTCCCTTAGCCACTGCATCACCTCCACCAGAAAATCGCCAATGGCTCCTATTACTTTCTCATCTGGTACCAATCGATAGTTTCTACCAACTTTAGTAACCATGTTATCAACTTTTGTTACTATGATGGCAATACTACGTTGATATTTATCAACATCCTTGACGAAATCAGTGGCATGTCTGAGTAATTTCAGGAAATCTTGTCGGTCTACTCCTTTCCTAACCGATGAATGATTAACAACAAAGATCAATTTAACGTGCTCTACATAATCTGTCACTTTTTTAATGAAGTATGTTGCAGATATTTCCATGCTAGTATTTCTTGTATCACTAAATCCAGGGCAATCGTAGAAGGCAGAATTAGTTATAGGATGAACAACAGATTCAGGGAAAATTGTCATAGATTGTAAAGTTGAATCACCAATTCTATTGCCATCTTCAATGAGATATACTCCATTGCCCTCATATACTTCTTTTGCTATCAACTTGTCGTTGTCCCCAGCGATCCACTGAAGAAAAGTACTCTTTCCAGCTCCCGTATTACCTAACACTAAGGATACACTCTTGTATCGTTCACTTAAGTGGATTTTCTTTTCCCCTTCATCTAAAAGTTGAAATGTCATGTTTATCTCAGTTTTGTCATCAGATGATGAATTTATGGTATTACGACGATGGATGTTTCTGTTTGAATTCGCCTGCATCCCATGGGAGTTACTTGCGCTGGAAGAAATGGTTGTCACCATACTCAATGGAAGAATGTTTGCTGATGATGAAGAGAAGAATGGAATGTCAGATCTCGGTGAATGAGCTGAAGAAGAAGAGCTGATCCTCATGTGCACGCCTTGCATCGGAGGGTCGGAGGCCTGAGACGCCAGCCCAGGCATCACCACCACACCCTGAGGACGAGTTGGACTGATGACCAGGAACTTGTCTGTTAAAATAGGCAGCACTCTAACTGCTAACGGCACTCTTACTGCACTCTAACACTCCGCTCCTAAATAATCGTTTTTTTATGAACGTCGTTCAAATGCCTGCCGATGTAACACAAAAAAGAATTATGTTATATTGGCCAAATTTCTCTGGATTACCGCAAGTTTGAAGCCTTAGTAGTGACATAATATGATAAGTAATTACATAATATATTACCCTTTAAATGTTATTGCAACAACGGGAGAGGCAATGAAACTCTTAGAAACCTGTTGCCGACATGTAATTATCTCATGCGGCTTAAAATTTGAAGAACTTTAAGCCGCACTTTAAGCCACATTCTCCTTGAAATTTGAAATGTTTTAAGGCGAATGCAAAATACTCGTAAATTAAAATAAATTTGTCCAAAACTGTGCTAATTCAAGGTTAATGACCGCAATTGGCACTAATTTCAAGTCATCTACCCTAATTACTTTGCAATACTCACAGTCCGCCCATCAGCGTAGGTGTTCGTGACCACCTCACTGCCGGCCAGCGTCAGGACCTGCACAAATAATATGGAAGTTAAATTTGTTTGTTATTTGAAGAAACATTTCGTAAACGCATTCATTGAAATCAGAAATTAATTGGAGGGAATCGAAAATAATTCAAAAATGACGTAAAACAAAGCTTAGGTTGATTAATTTGCTATGAGTGTTGCAAAAAATAGAAGTGCATAATTGATGGAATTTGCTCAAATTAACAGATGGATATTAGTTAATCGAAACAGTAAGATGCATTATATATAAAGATGACAATATATTACGAGAAAGTCTTTCATTTTTCATACGCCGCGTGCATCGGCTCCAGCAAGGATTTAGTTCCAATTTCTTATAAAATTCAGAAGATATCGAGGACACTTCATAGAATATAGAACAGTCAACAGTAATATGCCCTGCGTCGGTGATGCTTCGACCGTACTTTAGTGGTCCATACTGCGCGGCGGCGGTGCGTCATTGATACATCAGTGGTGCATACTGCGCGGCGGTGGTGCGTCATTGATACATCAGTGGTGCATACTGCGCGGCGGTGGTGCGTCATTGATACATCAGTGGTGCATACTGCGCGGCGGTGGTGCGTCATTGATACATCAGTGGTGCACACTGCGCGGTGGTGGTGCGTCATTGGTACTTCAGTGGTGCACACTGCGCGGCGGTGGTGCGTCATTGATACATCAGTGGTGCATACTGCGCGGTGGTGGTGCGTCATTGGTACATCAGTGGTGCATACTGCGCGGCGGTGGTGCGTCATTGGTGCATCAGTGGTGCATACTGCGCGGCGGTGGTGCGTTATTGGTACATCAGTGGTGCATACTGCGCGGCGGTGGTGCGTCATTGGTGCATCAGTGGTGCATACTGCGCGGCGGTGGTGCGTCATTGATACATCAGTGGTGCATACTGCGCGGCGGTGGTGCGTCATTGATACATCAGTGGTGCATACTGTGTAGCGTCTGTCTCTTATACACATCTAGATGTGTATAAGAGAGCGGCGGTGGTGCGTCATTGGTACATCAGTGGTGCATACTGCGCGGCGATGGTGCGTCACTGGTACATCAGTGGTGCATACTGCGCGGCGGTGGTGCGTCATTGGTACATCAGTGGTGCATACTGCGCGGCGATGGTGCGTCATTGGTACATCAGTGGTGCATACTGCGCGGTGGTGGTGCGTCATTGGTACATCAGTGGTGCATACTGCGCGGCGATGGTGCGTCATTGGTGCGTCAGTACCGGATCCTGAGCGTTGATTGTGCGTCATTCGATGGTGCGAGCTGTGAGAGCTTCATCACATCTTGCCTTTTATTAAATTGTGCACTTTATTGATCTCTGAGAACTCCATTGACGTAACGTTGAGCTCTCAATTTGAAACATTACAAATAACGAATCGCGTCATAACTATTAAGAATTTTTAGTATATTAAACACTTCAAGTAGTTATATTGTATTTTTGAGTATAATAAATTAATTAATTTTGAGTATAATAAACACTTCAAGTAGTTATATTGTATTTTTGCGTCAGATGAGCTTGTAAGATTTTCCATTTGCTTCTCTCATGCACATAAGATCTGGACCTTCTAGTAAACGCCGGGGGCTTCAGAGTGCTGGCAAATTCATTCTGTAGCCAGAACTGACCCTAGATTTTACAGTAATTTTGTAGGTTCTCATTTATTGATCTCTGTATGCTTTTGAATATGATGTTCAATATTGTTTATACTTATTGCACTTTACAAACTACATGCTCAATTTTCACCTTTTGTTTTCAGAACAGTTGCAATCCAAAGGACGATCAACTGAACATGTTTTATTCTGAACATCCTCGAGAACAAAGAGTCCTATTCTTCATAAAGCTTGTATCTTTGATCACTAAAACACACACGCCGCTATGGCGTGCCGGGCGAGGCGGGTTGCTTGAAGGCGTTCATTTACAAGACACTCAACGAGGTCACGGCTAAAGCGATCAACTATGGCGCTGTTGTCAAGGGAGAGGCGGGGTGCTTGAAGGCGTTCATTTACAAGACACTCAACGAGGTCACGGCTAAAGCGATCAACTATGGCGCTGTTGTCAAGGGAGAGGCAACACTGGGCCTCTGTCCCGGCCACATGCAGGCCTGTCGGAGTATCGCTTGTCTCCTGCGCATGTATACTGCAAGATCCTGATGTCTTATGCGTGTTTGTTCTGCGTGCGGCCCTGAGTTAAGTGGGAGCGCAATAAGAAGTACAAAAGATTGGTAGGACGGCGGCACGTACGGAGTTTAGCGAAGACACAATCAACGCTACAAGAGATTGGTAGGACGGCGGCATGGAGTTCAGCAAGGACACAATCAGCAGGACAAGAGATTGTTAGGACGGCGGCATGGAGTTCAGCAAGGACACAACCAGCCAACCAGCAGTACAAGAGATTGGTAGGACGGCGGCGAGGAGTTCAGCGAGGACACAATCAGCAGTACAAGAGATTGGTAGGACGGCGGCGAGGAGTTTAGCGCTGTCTCTTATACACATCTAGATGTGTATAAGAGAACAGCTGCAACTGCATCTATAGGCACTGCTGCACCAGCACAGACTGTCACTGCAACTGCATCTATAGGCACTGCTGCACCAGCACCGACTGTCACTCCAACATCACCAGTTTCCACTGCACTCGAAAATGCATGCTGCGCTGTCGCTGCCCTGCACCAGGAGCGTCTCCGAGTCTCCCTCCTCCTGAACTGATCATCGAGGTTCGTTGAAGGCACCTCTGTCTGAGGGGCCGCTGCTTGCGCTGCTGCTTAAGTCGTCAGGGCAGGGACAAGGCTTCACTGTACTTGAAGGACAAGTGAAGGTTATGAACGTCAGTTGGCAAACCATATTAGGTTTACAGGAGTTGAATATTCCCATCACCTAACATTCTAACTTTGGTAAATGGATATTGGTTGGGTTTGATACTAAATTAATTATTTCTTTATTTATGAAGCATCCTAATTCCATTGTGGTTAAGATGTGGCGAGAACAAGCTTGATCGTTCCCTGCCAGAGCTCCGAAGCTGAAGATAAAAATTGCCGTTTCGTAAGATAAAGTTTATGCAAAACAACCTCAAAAGTAAATAAGTTCATTATTCAAATGATGTTATTTCTGACAATTATAAAAAACTTTCGGTCAAGTGGCTGTGCATATTAATTCTACGAGTCTCCATAATAGTGATGTAGTTTATTCCTGTTCAGATAAAATTGCCAGAAATTTCAGTTACAACGCAATAATATTTACGAATATTTGCCATTCTGATGATTGAGCGGTCAATCATACGGCCAATTTCGCTGCATTGGTTTTACTTTTAAAAATGACATACAGAGAACGTGGCCTAACCCTTAAAAATAAGTGGGTCAAGATAGTGGGTCACATTGTTGACATTTACCACAGAGTTTAGTGGATGAAACAAAAGTCCTACTTAATTAAATGAAGAACATTATTATCAATAATAGGTACCTTAATCTGTTATGAAACAGGAGGTGGAACGGCTTTTTGCACTCAAAATCTAGTTTAAAGAGAGTTATGAAAATTCGTTTAATCTAAAAACGTCAAATGCCATAAATTTGCTTCAATAATTTAGTCGAACATTAGCAAGGCCAGTGTCGACCATGCAGCTGCTGACACGATAAAGGCAGGGTTGAATATAATTGATTCTGGTAGCATTGATTATGTTGTGCTCCATCGACTGGTAGGAGATGTCCACATTTACCTCGCTCGCCGCGTGGAGACATTCAGTGTACTTTGAAGTTCGTCCAAGAAAACTGCTTTCACGCATCGAAGGAAATCTAATTCCAATGGGGCGGGAATCGCATTGGCTTTTGAGGTGCATCATCAAACTCGTGGCTTCATCTCAGGACAAAGGCACTTACCTGCATGGTCTCTCAGGGACTGCCATAACCTCACCTCATTCCAAGTTTTCGTATCGTGCACAGTGACGGCATAAAAAGTTTGAGCAAATATTTGACTTTCTGTCGATGAGGTAATTGATTTGGATTAATGAAGTCATCATTTTATGATTCAACGGAATGAAATAGCTTCAGGCGCACGCAATTATGTACGAGACATTCACTATGCCCTCGGTCTGATCATTTGTAGACTTGAATTATAAATTCTATACTGAGAAGTGTGGCTTAATTCTGATTCTTCATATACAATTGTAAGGAGTGTGATTCTCTCTGTGTAGATCAGGCACCGACCGAGGAATCGTCACAGCTGGTGGTGCTACAGATTTAGATGCTACTTGAATCTTTATAAATTCTTCCAGAGCATAATGAGGGCTCGGCAAAATACTGGCAATAATGTAATAACTATATAAACAAATACCGAAAGTTCCTTCCGCTGACGTATACAGGAACGGACGAAGCAAGGGGATTGCAGTATAAAAAAGTAAATGATGTGAAGATACGCTTTCTGCAGGTCATCATTCATTAGACGATGATTTAACTTTGGACGAGAAGCCTATCAATTAAACCAAAAAACTCTTGAATTTGCAGGAGCAGAAAAAAACTTAAACAATACCAGCTTTCGGAGTAAATACAATTGCTTTTACAGCAATGATGACAATTTCTCAACTGTTATAACATTGTAAACTAGAATACTATAATGAGGTTAACTTCCTTCTAAGTGGAAGTTTAATGGCATATGTAAAGGTGATTATAGTAAGAGCCGGGTTTCAGTGACACAATTAAGAAAGTTCCCGCAAATCGACAGCCGTGAAGATAGCTTCTTATGTTCTGAGATCCAGGGCAAGGCTGATGCGTAGCTGGCGGTGTTGCTCCTGTCTTACCTGCTTACCGCCGTGACGCAGCGCTGACGCGGCCCCGGTCATATGATCTCAACTGCGTTGTCACTATTGGCTTATGTAGACAGTGTTGCGGGAGAGCGGGGTTTGTAAAATTAAACAATTCACCATTCCTAAAGAACAACGTTAGACAGGAAAAATGACAAGTAACAAATTTGGCTCCAGACATAGGCTCCCTTCAACAGAGAATGTAAGGACACAATGTTTAAA